GGAGGAGAGGCAAATTATTGCAAACTTGCCACTTTAAAATTTCAAATCCACATGATGCCTGGATACATATTAAAATATGTGCTTCCAATTTCACTAACAGACCACTGTGTCTGCAAATACAATGTTGTCAGTCTAAATTTCCTTTTTTATAAAAAATTTAGCTTCTGTCTTTTTCAGCTGTTAATTTCTCCTAAGCCTTTTGGAGAATACCTCCCACATACCTCTCTTTTGCTGGGCAAACCTCCATGTGATCTTTCCATCCCTAGAGAGTCTGTCCTTTGTTCGAAGGCACAGGATGGCAAAGCTGGCAAAAAGACCTTCAGCCATGCCTCCCCTTTCCCCTTCCAGAGGCTCTGAACAGTGACGTGACTCTAACTGCAATGGGAAGCGCAGGCTGGTACAGTTGCATCTTTATTTGCTATATAGTAGGAGAAAGGGATTCCTGGGCCCAAGTATACACATTTGCATAAATGATTTCAGGCAAAACAGTTTGCAGATGTGTGTCCTATTCACCTCAAAACATTCTGTGATTCAAATTTCAGGAATGTATTAGATTGAAGCAATACCCTGAACTATTTCTCAACTTTACACTATAGTAGAGTATTAACAACAATGCTCATTTGCAGGGCAGTGGAAAGAACACTGGTTTTGTCAGATAACTAGGTCCAAATCTTCTGCCTCTTACTAATTATATTATCTTGGACAAGTCACTTAAACTTTCTGAGTCTCATTTGCCTCCTCTGTAAAAATTAAGTGGTTGGAATAAATGACCTCTAAGGTCCCTTCCAGCTTCAAATCTGTGATCTTAACTTTCCTCAGCTTACTAGTGCAAAAGAGTTGTATTTAACTATCCACACAGGAAAAAGCAAGTGGATGAAGGATACCAACAGTCCAAATCATGATATATAGCTGGATAGACAACCCACAAACCCATAATCCAGTATGATATACATCTTGTACAGACATTGCAGATGGAAAATGGACGAGTACAGAACTGAATAGGAGGAAAACTGATTGTATTACCTTTGGGAAATGACAGAGTGCATTTAATGACAGTGAAGCTGCTCCCAGACACAAACATCCATCTTTTAAATGACAATGTTCTTCCGGCAATGCTTTTTCTAAATCAGGCTGGAAACAGTCCCTGACCATGATTGAAGACTGGAGAACTTATTGAAACACGTACAAAGCAATAGAAATCATATCAGTACATACCACACCACTACATTTGGAAAAGATTTGCAGACTACTAGGAGGCCAGTTCTTTAGCAGTATTTATTTACTGAAGGCAGTGGGAGACAAGGAAAGTTTTCCACCCTTAGAAATTTTTTCGTGGGTGTGTCTGTTCCAGATTACATCAATTTATCCTTGGAGGATTTTCATTGACAGAAAACAAGTCAACCAGACCCTGATTGAAAATACATGCAAATGCATAGTCATTTTCCAATTACTCCAGCAGAGGCAAGTAGAGACTGGAGTTTATGCAGAGAGATGTTTTCTATAAAATGATAAAGGGGCTGAGGGACTTCCCATTTGTCCTTTTTTTAAAAGCTAAAAAGCCTAACATTTGTCTGCATTAAAAAAAAAATAAAAGGCTAGAGAAATGTTTGGAGTTAGAAAAAATGTTGGCTTTCCTATCTGGTTTCCAGCCTACTCAAATCAGTCACCATGGAGACTTCTGTTTGCTTCAGGAATGACTCACGGGAGTCAGGGATAGAGCCTTTGAAATGGAAGCAGCCCTGCACAAAGAAGAATTTAGACTCAAGTCCTTGAACGAGAAGCATTTGACTCTGGCTGACATGTTCTGGTTGAGGACTTTGGGCCACTCTTCCTCAAAGAAAGTGGCTGCCCCTTCATTTTGGACCTAATTACTAGCTTCAGAGAACAAAGGTCAGCTTTAGATCGCAGGGTACCTCCATTTGGAGAGAAGTGTTGATGTAAACTCTGAAAATGTGAATGCTTGAGTGCAAAGACACCAGCGCAAGAATAAAAGCCCTAAGGCTCATGGGGAGGGTGACTTTCAAGAGCAGGGAGCTGAAGGGGGAGGGGAGCAAATCAGAAGACTTTCTGACAAATTGGGTGGGGTACTGTGTTTGGCTTTTGCTTTGTTTGTTTTGAGGGCAGGGGTAATAGACTAAAATTTAAACTTCTTTCACTGGAGCCTGGCTACACGATAGAGCAGGACAAGCCTTGCCCTGCTGTCAGAAGACCTAGGTTCGTATTCCAGCTTACATGATTATTATCTGTGTAACTTTGGGAAAACCAGATAACCTATCTGAGCCTCACTTTCATCATCCGTAAAAATGAGGTGGTTGCATTAAACGGCCTCTGAGATACTAGTTCTAGATCTATGATCCCTGTGATAATGCTGGTTAGTCTTAACGGGGAAATACTTCAGGTGGGGCACATATGAAATTCAGTCAATTTAAGGCTCCATTTGAAATGACCATAGGTCTTATCACCACGTTAGCAAGGGACCTAGAGTTAGACAAAGCAACTCACCAAGGAGCTGAGAGAAGGGATCCTGCAATACCCTGAATTATATCAGCTGAATAATCCTAAAAAACCATTCGGGGAGATAGTGGAGATGTGAAAAGTTCCAAGCAACACAGGTGTGATCTAAATACCCTTTCAGTCTAGCAGACTGGGGACACACAGCACAAATAATGTCCAGACAGCATAAGCACAGACAAACACAACTTGTAAAAGGTCACTCCTCGAGACGATGTATTTTGCCTGAAAATACATTCTCATGATGATGTCTGCCTGACCACTACTGCAGATACAAAGCCAGATGTTTCCCAAAATCCATGATCACCTCCACTGAGCTATCTTTCTATTGGCATAATGCAAAGTCATCTAGAGTCCACCCTGTCAGTTACAGCCTAAAAGGCCCCCTCCTTCTTTGGAAGGCCAAGTATTTCAGGGGCTATTGGAGTGGTAGGTATATTGACAGCAGAACAATTTTGCCTCAATGCCCAGACATCATCCTTTAGCTCTTATTTGTGCTTTCAGACCACTGAGCCAACACAGAGATCCTATTCCTTCTGTGTGCATTTTAATAACAGCAACATCCCTCACCACATCTGGGATTTTTTGTACTACCACATCTCCATGGATAGGCTCCCCTGGCTTCCAGCTATCAATGGCTCTGCTTACCACCCCAAGAAAGGACAAAATCAGCTCCACTGACTGTTTAAAGGGATCATAAGCTCATAGGTTAAAAACTAGAAGGCCATTAGAGGTCCATAGGACAACAGACCTAGAACATCTCCTCCCATATCCTCATTTTATAGATGAGGAAATCGAGGCCTAGGGTCTCACAAATAAGTTCAAACCTGTGTCTTCTGACTACCAGTCCAGAGTTCTTTCCACTACAGAGAGCTGTCAACATGAGATCAAACCTAGCTAAGAACTCCTTAAAGGCTCTCTTGGTAAAGAGATTTAGCAATTTACTGAACAAGAAAACTATGGTTACATAAGCAGAAAAGAGATGATTTAGGCCGCAGGGCCTGCTCCAACCACTTAACCAAATTAATACACCATAGAAAAAATTGTCCATTTCTTATGTAGAAGGGTAGAAGTGAACTGACCACTATGCATGCCATATCCACCCTGAAAACACATTCTCATGATAATATCTACCTGACCATTACTGTAGCTACAAAGCCAAATGTCTCCCCAAATTCATGATCACTTCCACTGAGCTATCTTTCTATTGGCATGATGCAAAGTGGTTTAGAGTCAATTCTGTCACTTATAGCCTGGATGACCTTGGAAAAACTCCTTAACCTTTATGGGCCTCAGTTTCCTCTCCTGTAAATAAGGGGGTTAGACTAGATCCCTTGGGACTGTAGATTCAATGATTTCTTTCTGAATGCCTAGCCAAGTGAATAATCGAATTGCTCCTCTCAACAGAGATTCCTTAGCCCAAGGAACAGTTCTGACCAAACATCAAATGGGAGGCCTGGTATCCCAAAAGTCTTGGCACAGGTTTAAGCTTTAGTAGCTTAAACTGTCCTAAGACTTTTTGAAGATGCTGTAGTTTCCACATTAGACGTGACAGGAGTCCTAAAAACTTGTGGATAAGGAATGAGAAATTTCAAACCAGAAACAGATCCAGGACATCAAAGATTTCCTATCACGTCATAAAACAAGACCAACCATTTGGCTAAGCCAGACATTCTATTCCACTATTTTCCCGGTGTTAGGCTACCTTTCCTTTTCCCTTTGTTCCCTTTCTCTTTTCCTCTCCCTCCCCCTTTCTCTTACTCTTTCTCTCCCCCTTTAAATTACCCTTTCTATTTTTCTTCCATTCTTCTCTCTTTCTCTTTCCCTCCCCTTTCTTCTCCCTTTTCCTTCCACTTCCCCTCTCCCTCTTCTTCTTTTCTCTTCTCCTTCTCCCCTTCCCCTCTCCCTCTCCAATCTTCTTCCCCTCTCCTCCCCCTCTCTCCTTGCTTTCTCCCTCACCCCCCTTCCCCTTCCCTCTGCATTCTCTTTCCCCTTCCCCTCTCTATCGTCCCTGCCTTCCCCTCTCCTTTTCCCCTTACCCCTTTTCTTCTCCCTTTCCCCTTTCCCTTCCCCTTCACCACATGTTTTCTTTTATTTTTAATTACTACTAGGACTTTGCAGCATTCAAATTGAAACAAAACTGCAGAGAGTAGAGAAAGCAATGCTAACGATTTAAAGCATGCACAAGATGCCCTCTTCCCTTTGGGCTTAGAAGAACTTTTTTTCTTTTTTTTAAAGCTGGAATTTATTTCAGCATTGGACAGTTGGGGCTGCTGCTGCTGCCGTTGCTGCTGCTGCTCCCGCTGCTGCTGCTGCTGAGCTCAGTCTCTTAGGTGATTGCCTACCCCCACCCTCCCATTCCCTCGACCAGAGTGAGCAGCTGTACAGCAGTAAGTGCAGAGCCATCTGTTTTGCAGTATAAATGGGAGTTATGGGGGCCCCTCCTCCCCTCAGCCACCACCCTTCATCCCCCAAGACCATATACTTACATCATTGAATAGCTCTGCTATAGCCATGCTGGCTTTCCCCCAGGGGAGTCAGCCTTGGTCTTACATACATTGCCCTATCCATCAGGTTCTGCATACAAACTTAGAAAGGAAGGAGAGAAGGAGAGGGGAGAGAAATGGAGACTGGGAAAGGAGAAAGGAAAGAAACTGAATAGAAGCTAGCCTCTAGCAATCCATTTTCAACCTCAAGAGCTGTCTTGTGGGCTCCTTTCCCTTTACAGAAGAATTAAACAGCTGCCTTGTTTGATGTAATGATTTTCCCCTTGTGAAATATCTTCCTTTTAATTCTCTGTAGCTTTTCTCAGAGGTTGGTTTTTGTTTTTGTGGTTTTTTTTTTTAATTTTCCACTCTCCCCTCCCCCTTCTGGCAATCTTCTTCTGTCCAGTCTCCCTAAGTCAATTCTCACTCTGGTTCTTTCTGCCTTTGATCCTTCCTCTTACCCCTTTATACTTATTGAACCAAAGTGCAATGGTACTGGTGATATTGAAGGTGAATGGTCTCACCCTCAGCACAGCTTGTCTGCTACTCACTTCCCCCGCCCATTCCCCATTCTCTGTAACACGTGCTGTCAGCACTAATACTCTGTGCCAGTGGGAGAAGCCCAGCTTCAGTGTCTGACCTTACCTCTCTGGTTCGTATTGTCATCCTGAGCATGTGCTCACTTAAATGCACCTGCTGAGGACAAAAGCCAAACACCCTGTAAATCCTGGGTAGATTGTACATCATAACCATCAGGACTCCAGCCAGCACTCTGAGCTTGTAGATTCCAAATACCCCACTTGTATCAAAGCACCTCTCCCTAGGACATTATGCTTCACCTACAGAGAAAGCTAGGCTTGCTTAAGTCAGGCACCTTATGTAGGCGCATAGTCCCCCACACTAGTCTCACTGAAGTTACCTAGTTGGAGCAAAGAGGCTGTCCTCCTCTGTAGAGTACCAGCCTATCCGGAAGGAAAAGGAAAGGAAGAAAATCTGCCTCCAATAGAAAATTATAAACTTGAACTGGGAGCTGGGAAAGGGATAGATTGGAGATGTGAATAATAACAAAAGAAAATTTGCTTTTGAAAGAAATGGATTCTTAAAAAGATAAATAATTTCTGTTGTTCCACTGATCTGTTTGCTATCTACTAAACATACTTTTTTTTTTAGGATGTCCAGTGGAAAGAGTACCCACTAGAAGAAGTGGGGTAAAGTCCTTCTTAAATGATTTGGGGCAACTTCTCCCTTTACCTCAGTCTTTTCATCTGTAAAATGAGGAGGGTGGGCTTATAAATAATAATAACAACAATAATAGCTAGCTTTTATACCGCATTTATGGCTATAAAGCAAAGCACTTTATAAATATCTCATTTGAGCCTCACAACAAATCTGAGAGGTGGGTACTGTATTATCCTCATCTAACAGAGGAGGAAACTGAGGCAGGCAAGGGTTAAGTGCCTTACCTAGAATCACAAGGCTAGGAAGTGTCTGAGGCTGCATTTAGATTCATCTTCCTCACTCTTCTAAGTCCAGTGCTCTATCCAATGTGCCACCTAAACTCTGAGGTCCTTTGCAGTTTTAAATATATGATCCCACATTCCAGAATTGGAAGGCATCTTATAAAACATCTATATCGGGGGTTCTTTACCTTTTTAGCCTCATGGACCCCCTTGGCAATCTGTGAAGACTGTGAATTCCTTCTCAGAATAACCTTTCTAAATGCATAAAATAGTATACATAGGATTATAAACAAAACCAATTATATGGAAATAATTATCAAAATATTTAAGAACATGTTCACAAACCCCAGGTTAAGAATCCCTGATCTGTGTCAACACCTACATGTAACAAATGTGGAAACTGAAGTGCAGAAAGGTCAAATGCTTGTCCAAGGTCACGCACCTCTTCAGGGATAGAGTCAGGATTTGAACACAGGGCTTCTGACTCCAAGTTTGGTGTTCTTTGCATGATATTACACATTCCTTTTGCCTGTGTGTTTTCCCTTCCCAAAATGCTTTCTTCTTGCTTTCTTATTAGTCATCACTCCTTCAAAATCTATCACCCCCTCAAAATACAACTGAAAACTGATCTATCTAGCCAAAAAACCTAATTAACCCTGCTTGACTCAAGTATGTGTTGGACTAGATGTCCCTGAGGTTCCTTCCAACTCCGAGATGGCCTGAGTGACTTTGCCTTTCCCCTCTAATCTGAGGTTCAGGGTACAAATAAGTGAATGGATCTATGCCATTTCTAGTGCTCAAAGTCTGGTGTTAGCCCCCATGGGGACCCTGACACCTAAAGATGCAGCACCTGCTGTGTCATTTGGATGATTCAAGGATAGGAGGACATTCAGTGAGAGTCGGCAGGACAGACTGCATTCTATTAGCTTGCCTAGTATTTAGAATGAGAGAACCCTGAGTCTGGAAGGGACTTTAGAGGTCATCTATTACAGACCCCTCTACGACATTCCAAAACTGCCTCCCTGCCTTAAGTCTTTCACCAATCTAATCCAACTTCCATTCAACTGTCAAAGTAATTTTCCTAAAGTTTAGGTTTGGACCATGTTACCCTCTCAGTTTAATAAATTCCTGTGGCTCCCTAGTACCTCCAGTATCAATGGGTTTGGCATAAAAGCCCTACATAACCTGCCCCCCTCCTACCTTTTCAGTCTTCTTTCTTTTTTATCCCTTCTCCCATCCAGACACTTTAGAATTCATCTTCCCTGGTCTACTTGTTGCTCTTCATACATGATTCATCATCTCCTGACCCTATATTTGCACTGGCTACCTCCTATGACTGAAATGTTTTCCCTCCTCACCTCAGCCTTTTAGATTCCCTGGATGCTATAAAGCCTCAGCTCTAATTCCACCATAGTCTCAGGAGTCCTTTCCTAGTCCCCCAAATCTCTTCCTTCAAAATTATCATCCACTTATACTCTAGATCTTCTATGTACCTAGTTATTGACATGCTGTTAGAGGGAGGGAACCATATTTTTGCCTTTCTTTGTATTCTCTGTGCTTAATATAACACCTAATGAATGCTTGTTGACTGACAGAAAAACATCTGTTCAGCCTTTGTCTGAACCCTTCTACTGAATCTGAAATCATCAATTAATTAGAACTTTCCTCCTAATTTTTTTCAAAATTATTGGAGGGATGTGTTTGTATGTGTTGCAGGTAGGGGGAAGGAAAATTAGGTAATATGAGCTCACAGCAGGCTCTTCTGAAGACTAGCTAAACACTGTCCTCCATGAGGAAGAGACTCCTAGTGACCAGAAGAAGGGAGATGAAAGTTTAGCTGTACCCTGCCCTATTTAGAAATTATCTGGATTATTATGTGCAATTCTGGATGCCTTATTTTATGAAAGACATCAACATGCAAAGGAAGATAACCAAGATGAAAAGAGAACTAGAGACTATGCACAGTTAAAGAAACTGGTGTTGTTTCTCCTAAAGAAATCTTAGGGGTGACATGAATGGTTTCTTCAAGTATTTGAAAGGTTGTCATGTAGAAGAGGGATTAGACTTATTGTGTTTGGATTGCGAAGATATAACTAGGAGTAATGGGTAAGCAGATATAGTCACAGTGTGTGAAGAGAAAAAAAAACTTCTTGTTAGAACTTTCCAAATGTAGAATGGAATGCTTCAGCAGGTGATGAATTTCCCATCACCAGAGGCCTTCCAGTGGAGGCTAGATGACCAATTGTCAAGGATGTTTAAATGTGCACTAAGTCTCTCCAAAGATATTGTTAACTGATTGGATAATGTGATTCAAGTTTATGGATGGAATGTTAAGCAAATATTTATATGTTTTCTTTGCATTTTCAGCAAATGTTTTGGTTAAGATTAATTGAATGTTAGTAGTTGTTTTGTTAATAGTATACGCTGATGGGGGCTCATTAGCTATACTATTAGTTGGAATAACCACCCACTGAAGTTACCCCTAGGAAACAGAATAGTGAGTTATAAAGACCATTCCTGGGGCAGCTAGGTGGCACAATGGATAGAGCACCAGCTCTGACATCAGGAGGACCTGAGTTCAAATCCAGCCTCAGACCAAACACTTGACACTTAATAGCTGTGTGACCCTGGCCAAGTCACTTAACCCCAATTGCCTAAAAAAAAAAAGACAATTCCTGTGCAGGTAGGGTGTTTATTGGCAGATCCTTGAGGTTATTTGATGAGGTTCTGAGATTTCTGTGAACTTACTAGCCCATGAGATAGCCACTTCCTTACAGTGATTGAAAATGTGCCTTTTTCAGTTCTCAGATGAAGAAATTAAAGCCATCTATAGTCATATGAAAAAATGCTCTAAATCATTACTGATTAGAGAAATGCACATCAAAACAACTCTGAGGTACCACCTATCAGATTGGCCAACGTGACAAAACAGGAAAATGATACATGTTGGAGAGGATGTGGGAAAATTGGAACGCTAATACATTGTTGGTGGACTTGTGAAATGATTCAACCATTTTGGAGAACTATTTGGAACTATGCCCAAAGGGCTACAAAAATGTGCATATCCTTTGATCCAGCAATAGCACTTCTAGGGCTATATCCCAAAGAGATCAAACAAATGGGAAAAGGACCCAGATGCACAAAAATATTCATAGCAGCTCTTTTTGTGGTGGCAAAGAATTGGAAATTGAGAGGATGCCCATCAACTGGGGAATGGCTGAGCAAGTTGTGGTATATGAATGTAATGGAATGCTATTGTTCTATAAGAAATGATGAACAGGCTGACTTCAGAAAAACCTGGGAAGACTTATATGGTCTGATGCTGAGTGAAGTGAGCAGAACCCAGAGGACTTTGTATACAATAGCAGCCACGTTATGCAATGACTAAGAATGTTAAACTGAACCCTTCTCAGCATTACGAGGATCTAAGACATCTCCAGAGGCCTCAGGATGGAAAATGCTGTCCACATCCAAAGAAAGAACTATGGAAGTCGAATCGCTATCACTTATTTTTACCTTCTGTTGAGTTTTGTTTCATCTTTCTGATGGTTCCTCCTATTGGTTTTAATTTTTACTTACAACTTCGCTAATGTGAAAATATGTTTAATGGGTATGTAAATGAAAAGCCTATGTCAGATTGTGCGCCATCTTGGGGGGGGAGAAAAAGGGAGAAAAAATTTTCAACTCAAAAGCATATGAAAAAAATTTTTTTTTTAAAAATGTGCCTTTTTGTAACTTCCACCAATTGGTCCTAGCT